TATATATATATATATATATATATTTAGAAAAAATCTGACCGGCACACATTAAACAAAATGGTCCGGCCCCTCTTGCATTTGCCAGAATTGCCAGATGGCCAATCCGCCCCTGCTGTGCTTTAAGTGCTACTTAAGAGTCACTATCCATTTGTCAAGTGCTGAAATGTCACCTTATAGAATGGCTCGTAATTGTAGTAAATGCTTGTTTATTGAAATGTTAACCTAATGCTGCGTTCCAGACAACATTATATTATATTACATTTATACGTATAATATTATACTTTACATAAAAATATAGGCTACAATATACAAAAATATATATTATAGTAGGCTATATAATATCTATATAGAGACGTCATTTCCGGGTCCAATACATTGGTTTTCGTGCACGTCAGTGAGTTATTGAGAGATTTTTTCCCTCCAGTCTTTGAAGCATATTTCCTACATTACTTCTTTTATTAATTTTTTTTTTGGGGTTCAGTCATTCAGTTTAGATGTGTATTTTTCTGGTCAGAGGAGAACTGGCCCCCCGACTGAGCCTGGTTTCTCCCAAGGTTTCTTCTCCATTCTGTCACCGATGGAGTTTTGGTTCCTTGCAGCTGTCGCCTCTGGCTTGCTTAGTTGGGAACACTTCATTTCCAGCGTTATCGTTGACTTGATTGCAAAGATATTATTTAAACTGAGCTGGATGTTGACATCACTGAATTCAATGATGAACTGTCTTTAACTGAAAAATTAGTGTGTACTATTGTCATTTTGCATTATTGACACACTATTTTCCTAATTAATGCTGTACAGTTGCTTTGACACAATCTGTATTGTTAAAAGCGCTATAGAAATAAAGGTGACTTGACTTGACTATTTCTATTTTTTCTGCCCTTTTTAATTATTTCTTTTATAAATTCATAATTGTTTTTTTTTTAAAAGTAGCATTATATAGTAATAAAGTGTAGAATAAAGTACAATCAAAACTTGATATTATAATCACATTGCACTTGAATAAAGTTAAAGGTGTAATCTGCCGATTGTCCTGCAGGTGACCGCATAAATCTGTCTTCTTACGATGCACTTAGGGCTTTACGATTACTCCAGAGCACTCCTAGATCTATGATGATTTTCAAGTGCTACTTAAGTTACGATGCATTTGGGAAACAGACCGTAATATTAAGATCAGTCGTACGATCGTTTTTACGAACTTCTTAGGCTTACGAAGCTTTTGGGAAATGCAGCCCAGCTCAGTAAATAATAGTCACAAATATCACAGCTGACATACCTTTACATCTGTGACAGAGTCCACTGATGTCCAGATGTTGAGTCTGGTTGCTGATGGGATTGTTGAGCACACAGCTGTAGGTGTTGTTATCCTGATATTCCACCTCCAGAGGTAGAGAGACGCTGATGCTGAGATCAGACACACTGATGCTGGACAATAAACTGTTTCCTTTGTACCAGGAGAGAGTCACATGACTCACATTCAACACTGAACACACCAATGAACAATTCTGACTTGATCTTTCAGATGGTGAAGAACAGTTTGACGTGTTTCTGCTGATGACAGGAATGGGAACAGGAGCTAGAAATGTGAGAGAAAGAATGTAAAATTAAAACGTTACTCTAAAAATGAAACAAACAACTTGACGACTCTACTATTATTTCAGTGTTATTTTTTAATTTACAGTAACTTTTAAAAAGTGATATTAACACCACCTTAGTTTTTGACTAGACATTTAATCTTACTCACCATAAACAGCAACTGTGAAACTCTTGTGTGAGATTATTCTGTTTCTGATGATCTGTAGTTTATAAAGTCCAGAGTGTTCAGTTCTGATGTTTCTGATGGTCAGAGATCCAGTTCGACTGTCTATCTGGAGTCTTTTCTCAAATGTTGTATCAGTGGCATCTATATAGATGTTCTGTCTGTTGATTTCAGCTATAATAGTGTCTGGATTGTCAGCTTTAAACGTCCACAGTATCTGATCATCTTTCTGTACTTTATCATCAGTGTTTAGAGTGACAGAACTTCCCTTCATCGCTGATACTGATTTCACTGCATCTGTATGGCAAAGCACACCTGAAACACAACAAACACTTTTTATTCAGGTTTGTTTGGTTTAAACAAGTTTAGAGAAAAATGCATGTCAAAACATTTTCTGCAACACTAAAGCCTGAATTTATAATTGGTGTGAATATTAAAGTGGTCAAATTATGAAAAATCTAATTTCCCCTTGATCTTTTGAAACAGCATACTATATATCACTCAAAACGTACTCCTAAAAAGTCAATTTATTGGACATAATCTGCAAAAATGGTTCAATTTCTGTGGTTCACTAATGCTCTTCATCTAGACTAGCTAAAGTTGCTTCAATTGTGTTATTGATTAATAAACTTTATTACTTTCCATAAAATAAACATACAGAAAGCTTCTTACAATTTTAATCAGAATTATCTTTGTCTTGAGCTTTAGTCTTTAATATGAGCCTTATTCCAGAGTAAAAAATGATAAACTCTTGATTACTGTTTCATAATGTCACATAACTACATGTGACAGACTCAATTTTAACCACAAGTCACTTCCTGTCAACACTCTGAAAATGCCCAGTCTTTGTTTGGATTTCCTACAGTATAATGGCAGCTTAGAGCAATGCGTCGACCTTAATTACAGAAGAGCGGAAACTGACATCTGATGTTTGGTTTTTCCTCTCAGCAACAAGTAGCTGCAAGGTGGTGCAATGGTCACAGTGGATGACATCTGCACTAAATGATCTTTATAGGGCTGCACAAACAAATGGTGTGATGGGGGGCTGTTATTTCTCTGCAACTACACACAACATCTGCTTTATATAATGTGAAACTGCAGCATAAAAACAATGAAGTACAATAGTCTTTTTGTGAAGGCAGTGAATGAAGCATAACTCTCTGAAGACCATTAGGGGCGTTCATACAGGACTTGCGTCCATCAGCGTGGTTTTAATTCTTTTTCTATATGAATATGCACTAGTTGGCTGTGATAATCACATAAATTTATCATAGGCCCATTACGGAAATAATTGGTATGCTGTATATAAGATGCTTTAAATACTGTCTAGCCCCCCTCTGGTGATGTTTGTTTAACTCTAAACATTACATGGATGCACAAGATGAAATTTGCTTTATTAGACATCCAAGTGAAAAAGTAAAAGACTGCTGCAAATCTTTTTAGGTAACAGATAAAAAAGTATTTCGCAATAACAGTCAACATTTAATATGTAGGCCCAATAATACAAATGAACATGTATATATTATTAAGTATATAATACAAAATCAAATTTAATTCAGTAACTCCTACACAGGAACTCTGGGTCTGCGTGATATTCTCCTGAAATCTGCCTTTTGAGTTTTGAGTGTTGATATTTCACAGCTGTCTCGGTTCTGCCCACATCCAACAGTGATTTCGCTCAAAATCTTCTCACACTGATCCAAGTGTTTGTGTTTGTAGATCTGACATCAGAACATAAAATCATGTCAGAATATATAATGACTAAATAAAGCAATATGCATTCCTATGCTATTTCCTTTGACATCGAAACAGGATGTACTGCCTCTAGTGGACAGCACACCAATATACAGTGTTTGAAGTTTAAATGACTTGTAACTGTACCATGTTTTCATACACAGTTTTAAAAATGTACAGTTTATGTTGTAAATAAACGTGAATTTACTTACTGATCTGTTTGAACAGGTGGCCTAAACAATCAGGACTAATCAGAATTATTGTACTAAGTGCATTATTTGTCTAATAAGGCCACATCATGAACAAACAAATCAGTATGAACCATGAGGAAACAAAAAGTTTTTTCTCTAAGCTCCTGTGGTTTCCGCAGATGCATTATCTACTACATACATACAGTGTATCATAGTGTAAACACATGTTAAACTGTCTCTTCCTCACAAGTCTGAAGTTTTAATACTAATGTTCAGATTTAATACTAATAAAATAGATTCAGATTCTGATACATTCATTCCAGCACATCTTTATAACACTTGATTTTGTCCCAGAAAGTCTCAAATAATTTATTGAAATACTCGTCCTCTGATCTCGCTTGTTTGCTGATCCTGCGGTGAAAATATATCACTCCCACAGCTAAAGTCATGACCAGTAATCTCACTACACCAGCTAGTTTCAGTGGAATAAGTTGTGACAGCTGAATGACATCTACAGTAATACATGTGCAGTAATTGAGTCCTAAAAGACATTGTAGATTGCTGTTGATCTCCAAATAAACTGTCATCATGAAGTCACAAACAGTGTAGAAGACATTTGATGTGTTGGTAAAAGAAAAGACAAAATACAAAACAAACCAAAATCAGGGACAATGTGAGTTGACCTTTAAAATACATTTGAGAGTAACAAAATTCAGTATATAATTATTAATGTCACTGCTACATGCGTGACAGAGTCCACTGATGTCCAGATGTTGAGTCTGGTTGCTGATGGGATTGTTGAGCACACAGCTGTAGGTGTTTTTATCCTGATATTCCACCTCCAGAGGTAGAGAGAGACTGATGCTGAGATCAGACACACTGATGCTGGACAATAAACTGTTTCCTTTGTACCAGGAGAGAGTCACATGACCCACATTCACCACTGAACACACCAGTGAACAATTCTGCTGTGATGATGATGATGATGAAGATGATATAAAAACAAGCTAATACAAATTCTCAAAAGAAAGTCTCAGAAGTTACTTATTTGAAATTTTGAATTGACCCACAGCTAAAACAAAAGCCATTAGCCATTAGAACTAATAAAAGCTGTTGAATTTGTAGTTTTTGCTTTATGTAAGCCCACTCTATTCAATTAAGGTTACAATGTGGGTGGTTTTATTACTATTAGTAGTAGTTATGTGGTTCATCTTTATCCCTTCCTTGAAAAAAACAACCCCAAAATTCAGAACCAAATCAAGACAACCATACAGAAGCCAAAAAGCCACTTCTTGATGCTTGTTCTTTAGGAATATACATTTTTAGTGAAAATTGCCCTGCCCCTCACAGTTCAGCTACAATCAACATTAGTCTTTGAAATGTCTTCACAGTAGCTACATGCACATCAGAAAATTATGTCTTTCATAGACACAAACAGGATGAAGACTGTGACCTCTTTGTGCTGTACGGAAACATTACTCGTTCAACTTTGTGGTTTGTAAATCTAATCTACATCTTCTTCCTGTCAATTTCCTCTAAGCAAGAAAAAACTATCCCTTCAGATTTTACAACTCCATAATTGATCAGCTCAATATTTTCATTACATGCATGTCATAAATCACGTCCACAGAGTACATTCACAGCTGATCACTGAATAGCTAATTTCAATTCATGTCTATTCCCACTCGTTCACACTATCTAGAGATTTTCTGACACTTTGGGTTCAGGTTGGCCACTATTTCCTATACAACAAAGAGACAGAAATCTATTAATGTTGAACATAACAGTAGCTCTGTTGAGGTTAATGTTCAAAGTCTTACTGCCACTGTCTATTAAACCATGTTTTACAAAATAAATCTGCACATATGTGCAGTGGACAATGCCCAGCACATCATGGGAACTTAGGATTTGTATGTTGTCTTGTGTCGCACCTCAGTTGACATCAAGACCAGGCTCCTATGAGTGAGAACTGTTAAGTTAGTTTACTGTTACTAGCTCTTCACCCACATACAGCATATACCACCTGTGCCACATGTGACCAGATAAGACCACAGTGCATCTCATTTTGACTCATTTTGAACAGAGCAGGTAGTGTGTCACAGTGCATAATGCATCTCATGATGCTTTTAAAAAAGCAAAACAAGAACCAGTTTCAACTCCTGACTACTGAAAATAAAGCAATAAACTAGACATTTTGTGATGACACATTTTCATATCTTCAAAGTGTTTCCTAGAAAAGCTACTTTAGCGCAGTGCTGTGAACATGCAACCATTCAGTGCTCTATTTACTAAAAACAATATTTTGTATCTTCCTTTAACATGTTGCATTTTAGCAATTAATGAATTACATGTATTATGTTTTATGCCATTTCATTTCACATCTGCAGTTTTATTTATTCATTTTTGCAAACATGCACTAGATCAGGATTTCTTAACTCTGGCCATCGAGGTCCACTTTTCTGCAGAGTTCAGCTCCAACCTTGATCAAACTCACCTGTCTATAACTTTCTAGTAATCCTAAAGACCTTGATTCACTTGTTCAGGTATGTTTGATTAGGGTTGGAGCAAGAAAGTGGACCTAGAATGCCAGAACTCAGAACACCTCCACTAGACTTTAAATGTGGTCTATATCTCCTTCTGGTGCTCGTTCAGCATTTCAAGAACAGACAATATAAATAAAGTTACATTTATTTAATTATAAACATGACAAAACAATACCATTCATGTAAGAGGATGTGTTACGTCACAAAAAAAATAAAAATTTAATTAATAATAAAAAAATCAAGTGACAGTGTACTGTGAAATTGTATTTTTTTTTTTTTTTATGAACAGATGTAACAGAATGAGAGTATATCATATGCCAGGGAGCAAGACAATAATGTACCTTTTGAACAAATTCAGTTTTTACAGCTTTCTTATCAGAAGAGTCAGAAATCATACACATATAGTGATTTAACTCTTCAAGAAAAATTCTAAAGAAAGGCTTTCGCTTACAAAATTTACATTTATGTGTAAAACGTTTAGCCAGGAACAAAATAAGGTTGAATAAATAAAAAACACTCTCATGTGCATATCCTAGAATAACATTTTTATATTTCAAAGTGTACCGTGAAGTAACTCTGTGGGGCTATCCCTATCCCAGAATTAATAGCGCGCCAGTGAAGACGGGGTTTTTATTCAAACAAAGTGGGTGCTGGTTCTGTGGCAGCCGACAAATACACTTAGTTCTATAAATGTAAATATTGTGTTTGAATGTACTAAAATAGCTTGTATTTTTATTTTATTATTATTGTTGTTATTATTTTAGCGCTGTCATGCAAGAAATGTCCGCAAACTTTCTAAGCAAATTTGATGATCCAGAAATATGATTTCTGGAGTATTTTGT